GTTAGAAGAGTTTCACAAAACATTTACAAATACTGTGCTTACCAGTGCTGCAACTTCAGATGAAAGCTGAGTCAGAGTGGAATTGAACTTAATAATGACCTTTTGCTCAAGTCTCTGTAGAAAGGTTTCGATCCGACTGACGTCCATAAGTCTCGCTGCGTCTATCCCTCGCTCCAGGTTCTTCATCTGATCACTGATTTGATGCACTGTGTTTGCGTACTTTCGGAACGTTCTTGCATCCAGCCACACTAAGGTATCAACACACACATGGATTGTAAAACAGAAAAAGGATACCTTGTTTGAGGAAGTGGCATATTAGTGCTTGAATGTCATAATAGCGATGAATCCCAGTAGGGAGGCATTATGCATGTGAGTACGGGCAAACTAAAATACCTCCTTAGGAAGTCTTGGTACAATGAGTGTCACATGTGAAAGGTACCATTTCGTAACTTGAGAACAATCATCAATTTTATGGATGGGAGAACGATCAGAAGATGTTAATGTTTCAGTCCTGGATTATGGACTCACTTTGTTCACAATGGTGTCCAGTATATAGAGGTGGACAGTGACAATGAAATGATGACCCTCTTTGTTGACATGTTGCACCGTTCTGACATGGATTTCCAGCGCAGGATGGCAGAACTATGAGGTAGAAAAGGCGAGTAAAACAGCAAAAGGTTCAAGAAACACACAATTTCAAACACATCTTCGTGGCTGCGTCCCACCAGCCTGTACACAGTCATATAAAGCTGGAGTTCAGAAGTCTCAAGAGGCAATAACAATAATATAAAGTGATATCTGATGAGATGGCGGCTACACCGTTTTCCCAATGTGTGATGGGCGGGGCCCATAACAATGTTCAACATTTCAAATCACGTGTACGGTATTCAGAAAAAAGACAGTGTGTGAGCGTTTTAGACTACGAATCCTTTCTTTTGGGGTAAAAATAGGTTTCACTGCTACACGAAAATGGTTACCGGTCTGACAAAACGTTCCAGTATGACCATCATTGCAGTTGCAAATGTACGACGAGCCTTTCCCTTGTCGGGATCCGCTGAAAATGCACTTTCCGGCATTGCTGCATGGGTGACTTTGACGACATTGCTCAAGTTGCCCACCTGCATAAAACCATAGTCAAATTCGAGACAAAAGGTGTCTTCATAAAGTTAATAGAACTATCTATTTTTGAGTATCGGTGCTAGCAGGCAAGAGCATTCCTTAATGCTAAAAGAATTGATATACCAATTCGTGGTTCAAACCCAATACACCAGGACAAAACAATCACAGTTCACGTGAGACTTGGCTGGAAGCTGAGTTTTCCTCATCTGCAGGAACGCCACCACCCTTTTGGGTCAAGACGCAGATGCAGCTCCTAAAGCGTTGGGAGGTGAGTAGATTAGACCCACCACAAAGTGGTCAAAGACCGAAAATCCCATTCGCTGCATCCCTATTTCCCTCGTGCCAGGCCACGGTTTCCCAATTGGCAGGACTAAAATACTAATAAACTAATTGGTTACGAGCATTGTCAATTAAATGAAAAACATGACATTGTTATGTTGCTCGCTGAGGTTGGTGCAAAGCCAGACTCGGTAAAGACTGGTCTAGTACGGCTGATGCGTCACGGAGTCCGAATGTTTCACATACATAATAGAATTGCCTGAAGCCTGAAGGACCAGGGCTATGAGTGTGCAATGCATACACAAATAGACTTGTATGTTTCTTATCCGATCATTAGAAGAACACTGTGTGTGTAGTAGATCAAATCAGTAGACTTACTCAGACACCGAACCAACATATCAGCATTCTGACGTCCACCTAGCAAAGCAGATAGGGATGCCGTGTCAGCGCTGATCAATGGGTTGACGTAGATTCGCTAGCAGGGTCTCTGTATCCTGGATGCTGAGGCGAAGAGCTGTAGATGGTAGAAGATGAAGAACTCGTGCCATACAAGACTTCTCAACACCTATCGAACAAACATTGAAAACAATTGGACAACAAAGGAGTATAATTGCTTTCATCCACAAACACTGAAACCGTGTGTGATTTTAACCCATTCAAATAAAAGACCCCATGGATGGGAAACCAAGAGTTTACCAAGAGTTTACTAGCTTGTAGTAACCAGGAGTGTATCTCTGTCCCAACAGTCCACAGGCAAAATGCTGTTGGGAGCATTCGGCGACAACTAACATCGACATGTTAATGCTCTCACCTGTTTCATTTCCAGTACTGGAGCGGTCTTCTGTAAGGGTGGTCCTGGAGAAAACACTTGTGAACGAGACCGCCAAAAACAATGAAACCGATATAAAGAGGTGAGTAGTTGGCGGCAAGTTCATTTTCAAAGCGGCCTTTGATCAGCGCTCAGGCGCTTATCTACAAAAGGCTCGTTGTGGTTAGTCAGCTCAGCAAACGGTGCCTTTGGAACCGCTTCAAATACAGACTTTTCACCACGAAGACAATATCAATCTGACGCAAATACTGTTGAGGAAATGATCTTGTACCCGCTCAGATCTTGTTTTGGCTGGCGTCCCGCACCGCAGGACTGATGTGCATTGCACGCGTACATGTACGAGTAGGTTCAATACCTCAAGTCACGGAGAGCATTGTCAACATTAGCATCATGAACCACCTGGTGGAGCTGCTCCTCTTTGATTTCCGCCACACTAGTAGTCTTGTGGTAGTAGACCTGCTGCATCTTCTGAATGGCTGTGCACTATCATCAATAACGGAGCAGTACTGATGGTAGCAGTAGACTATGCCAGAGCTTTTGAAAATGTGTCACACTGTATCCTATTATCACGTTGCAAAGTGGACAGCATTGTCAACATTAACATCATGAACCATCTGGCGGTGCTGGTGGTCTTCTTCGGTTTCCGCCATACTAGTAGTCTTGTGATAGTAGACCTGCTGGATACTCTGAATGGCTGCACACTATCAGCAATAGCAAAGCAGTACTGGTGGTAGCAGTAGACCCTTCCAGAGCTTTTGAAAATGCGCCGCACTGTTGCGTATCATACAAAGTCAATGGCCACCTCATCAATGACCCTTGCATCCATGTCTAACTGTCCATATCTCTGCGAGCGTCAGCTGTAGTCAGTTGTTTCAAACCCAGAGGCACAACACGAGCCCACCCTGTGCCAGCAAGTGTGACCATGCGTAACATTCTGGGCCATACTCTCTTGTTGGTACAGGAGGCAGCTTATGCTTTGCCAGAAGGAGTAATCATGTGTTCACCTGCTGGTAATAACCCTTCACCTGTCTCTATCATGCGACGATGCCGCTTTTTCTGCGATCAATTGCAGACCAGTGGTACAAACCTCGCTGTGGGGAGCAACTTGACGGTTAAATTTATTGATTATCTTTCTCACCAGAACCTGCTATCCCATCTCTCTCATATACTCCCCTCCCCCAACCCCGGAAGGATTGACGGCTCTTTAGTTGCTGAGACCATTGCAACAACGCTTTTCAAAGTCTCCATTGCAGCCAACTTCATGACCTCTAACACCCACAGCATGTCCTCTTCGAGATTGCACCGTAGATCGGCTTTCTCAGACACCACCCTCCCCCAACACCCGATGACCCGACACCAGCAGGCTTCTAACTAATTACAAAAGCGTCTGTCCGTATTTTGATGGAATACTGATACATGCTGGTCGGTTGATGATCCCAGTCAGCCGTCTCGCCTCAGCGAGCTGCAAAGGTGAATGCTTGCCCTTATCAGCCTCAGTGTCCTCATCAACTAGCCTGGAACAGTGGTCCCTGCTTTCTATAGCTCATGTGTGGTCGCTTTGTCCCATCTGTGTTGTTGCATTATTTTATTCATATTTCTATAGGGCAGTCTCCACAGACTGAGGGTCTTTCACACCAACGTTCAACACCAGTGACAGGAACACGCAAAAACAACGCATGATCAAGTGACCGCTTATTCAACCCATGTTCGATTGGGAATAAACATTGCAGCCTTCTCGGACTAACACCAGTCGACTCACCGTCCAAAAAACAACAGCATATGGGCCAATCGCGGTCTTGTGTGCTTTTATAGGAACTAAATGGTGCTCTCAATGATATTCTGCATACAAATCTTCATCTAGCAGGGCGCAGTCACTCAGTGTCGGTGGAAGTGGCGAGTTTGATTGGGAATGAAGGAGGAAAGGAGCGTCTTAGACTCTTAGCTTCCTCGAACCAAGACCATTCAACGCAGCACACCAGCAAACACTTAGTGCATGGCTGTAGTTATAGTATGTGAAAGAAAGCAATAGTGTTTGGTATGGCATCACAATTCAGAATCAAATAGGGATTTGAACTCTCCAGCAAAACGCTCTCGAGGTGGAAGCTGTGCTAGTATTTGATGCCGGCTTGCGCAAAGTATGCTAAAATTCAACTCAGTGGTGTGATCAATTAATTTTGGTCAAATACCACAGGAAGCGTAGTGTTCGAAATGCTGAATTTTTCTCTAAATTTTCAATTACGAGCAACGTTGCGAAATGCCGTCTGCTATGCATCAGTGAGCAGCTAGGCATTGTGTCCCACCTGAAACTTTACCGAAGTATAGTTCCACGAACGACAGCCCACAGAATGCTTATTTACTGGAATTACAAACCATTACAGAGTGACATATTCAGATGGAGTACTCCACTGCCAGGAGAATGTGCGATGCCCTTGTACGGTAGAACTTTGAAATCAGCCAGAAGAGGGAACGTATGAAGATATGTTGCAACTGCGAGTTTCGCGTTATGTAAGATTAAGTTGTCCGAGATTGGTAGTCTGAATTTAAGGAGGATCGAGGCAAGGAGCGGAAACAATAGTACAGGCTAAAAGACCATAGAACCGTGGACTGCGGGCCATTCAGTAGTGGTGCAATGATCGTATACATGCATCAGATGTAATACACTCCTGAAAAGACTCTGACTACCTCTTAATCTTTTCCTTGTTCACATGATGGTGACGGTACCTCACCAGCACAGGCTATACATTTGCCTCCGCAGTTCTAGCAACGCATTAGACCTGTTACGGAATCACTCAATTTCTCTACAGTAGGCTCTATCTTGCCGTTGTGTATTTTAAGTAATAAAAGTAGGAGCCACACATAATTGAAAGTAAAAGATATAGAGGCACCATGAAACAGTTGTTAGCTACTATGCATGTCACAGACATTTTCGATAGTGTGACTACCGTCAATTGATTGAGCTTCAACTTTTGCTCGTGAGTCATTCTACAGTGTGTTTGGTTTAAGCAATCAGTGACATAAACCTACATAGAAAACAGCTGGTAAAATGTATAGCGCTAGATGGTTAATGTACAGGTGGCTAGTGAGAGAATGCGGGTGATTGTAGTAGACAGGAAAAGTACAGTATATTAGAAAGAGTGATTGTATTCTTGTAACCACGATGGCTCGCTGATAAAAAGTATAAAACGGAAGCGCTCCTAGGAGATCAATTTTTTATGGTGGCGTAGGAGCTGGGTATGAGGATGCGCACAATACCCTGAAATGGTAAACACTCCCTTAGTGCATGTGCGCAGTAATATTGTGTTCAACAAACGCATTACTGGCTTTTTGGAATCCTGCGATTTAGAATCGAATGGCAGGTTGACTCTCCTGCAAAAGAAATGTATGGGTGGAAAGAGGTATAACATATTTCCAAGGATAGACAAAAGCCATCATAAAAAGAGGAAACCAGTGAAAACGTTCAAAAAAGTGCAGAATTTTGCATTTGGATGCAAATGAGCACAGTGTGTGTAGTGAATCTAGTAGTGCATTGGGTTTTATCCACGAATTCTTAGCTTCATTTCCACAAACTTCAAACTCTTGTACTCGAACCAGCCTTGATAGTACACTACACCAGTGAGGTCTCCATCACTACGTCCATACAATCCATTGACATTGACAAGGTGACACGTGTTATACCACCAACCACCCTTGAACCTATTGCTACAGTCTGTAGGGCTGGAGTCATGGTCACGATCTCGAGTACTGAACTGATGCCCATTGTGGTAACTCATTCTGTCCACCAAGGAAGGGCTTGAGAATCCTGAAACATGTAGTCTGTAATTGGTAGCTTCACCTTCAACACGGAATGTTGACCACTTGGCATAATGCTTCTCTGCAGTTGTCTTGAACACCATATCAATACGCAGTTCATAAGTACTACCAGCTTGTGACGTCAGATAGTGTAGTGTATCTTGACCCAGCCAGAACTCTCCAGACGCTGATCCGAATCCTCGTTTGTATGCATTCCAGTCACGGTAAAAGTCCACTGATCCATCTTGTCTTCTCTGAAACACAATCCAGCCACCTCCATCAGTCTCTCGATCACAGTATGCAGTGAATGTCGTAGTCGTTGTTGTACCAGTGAACAATCCTGATTGCCCGTGGTTAGTTCGTTCACACGACGTATTTGCTGCAGGATAAACACAGTGGAAGAATGAGGGGAAAATTAATGACTCAAAAGATACCATGACCTGCTTTCCAAACATGCTGCAACCCTTTTGAAAACCAACATGCATTCATGTACATGTACTTACATACTCACCCCGGTACCTGTATTTATCTGCCCATCCGACTACGTGTAAGTAAGTAAAGTAAATTATCGTATCCGTTCCCGAAGGGAACTCACGACGGCCGCTAACACCCGATAAACCCTAGCGGCAGATGCAGCGCCTAACGGTGGGGGTGAGTGGGTAGGTCTCACAACCACTGGCACAAGTGCCGTTAGCGACCCCATTAGCTGCATCCATGTACCCCTTGTGCCTGGCCACAAGTTCCCAGTTGACTGTGGGTAGCAGCACGGCTGGAAAAACCGCTCCCAGGCAACTACGTGTACTTGGAAGTAAGCCAAGGCCAGGCATTAGTGAATAAGTGGAAATCAACACTTTAAAGAGTAACCGACCTACCACCAGTAGAGCAGTTCAAGCAAGAGGATTAATAAAAGGAAGTTGGAAAGTCCACAAGGATAGAAATAAACTAAGACTGTTTTACGTATTGATTCTTAATGAAGTGATACCCCCGACACAAACTGCACAAACAAGTGTGACATTCTTTTAAAGTTTACTTTTGGCTGACCGGTTTCACTACTAGGTGTAGATCATCAGAGTGAAGAGTAAAGTCGAACGAAACACAATTTTATGCTCCCACTAGGTGGGTAGAAAATGTATTGACACATGTGGACCGCCAAAACGCTAGGGGCCCAAGGGCATTGGGAAATGCTACGGCAATACGGTCATGCAATAATTGCACAAGGTGTATGTGTGTCATGTGTCATGAATGAAGTGCGCATGCAGCTATGAGTACTATATTCATGAGGTGAATTGAGTTTTAGGTGGGATCCAAAGCTTGGACCCCGCCTAACAGATTTTAGATATTTGTAAGGAGACAGGGAGCTTTGATAATTGTATTGGGTTGGAATGCTTTGGTCGTATTGGAATAATCTGTTTGCGGTTTTTTTAAATCTCAGGGGGTGGTTGACTGTTTTGGTGCTCCTCGGAAAAGGTTTCGGCGACCCTCACCTTCCCGTGGTGAATCCGTCAGGAGACTAGGCCTCGGTCTAGACCTGCCAAGCGAGGGTCAACCTCCGGTCCACTTGCTGGACTGGATAGCTAATGATATGTAGTAGTTTGCAAAGAGTCTTCCGACGACGAAGGAGATGAGGACGACGACGACTGTTGTGGATCATGGAGCTCTTTCGGTACACCCCATCAACATGGTCACGCCATTGACACATGGCTCATCTCCAGTAACATGATGTAGTAGCGAATGAACCGCTCATGCCAACTCGGATCTGTCCCGCAACAGATTCCTTTAGTTCTCCCGACTTGACAGCTATCCCTGCAAGACTGACATCATCCACAGTTTGGCTGACAGACGACACGATTGGCAGCGACCATCTCCCCATCATCTTAACGGTAGAGGCAGTGAAAGTAACACCAAAACGGGAGACGAAGTGGTCGTTCAAAAAGGTCAAGTGGGATGTATTTGTGACCACCCTAGATGCCCACATTAGTAACATGGAGAAATCGGAAAAAGTGAACGCTGCTGCGGAGAACCTGAACAGCGCTGTCCTAAAGGCTTTACATGCAGCTGTCCCCCGTGGATGTCGCAACACCGCACATTTCTGGTGGAACGACGAAGTGGACAATGCCGTCTCGGCCCGCCGTCAGGCTCTGAAGGATATGCAGAGAAACAACACCGACCACCTCAGGCACCAGTACCAACTCGCATGCGACGAAGCATCTCGGGTTATCACACAGACGAAACGTGAAGCATGGCGAAATTACTGTGATGGACTTAATGACTCAACGTCCACCACCAAAGTCTGGCGTACAGTGGCAAGTCTGAACGGCAAGTGTGGTCCGCCCAAAACAGCGGACTCTCTCATTCTGAATGGAAAGACATACCACACTGAGAAGGAAAATGCCACGGCATTCAACAGTCACCAGACTAGATCTCAACATCACCATGAGCAGTCCATTACGGAAGTCGAACGGCAGCAAGCCAGAACAGCGAGTCGGAATACCCTTCGGAAAGCTAGGCTCAAACTCCGGTACCTAAATGCCTGCCAGTCTACTTCAGTCCTTTCGCTTGAAGGACGGAAGATGGATGTCCGCATCCTGAAGGATGATGGTACAAGTCAGTGGTATCGGGGTGTAGTCATCCAGCATCTGCTTCAGCAAGGGAGCTCTGGCACTGTACTGGTGCAGTGGGCGAATGGTGACCCAGATGAACTTTTGAACCTTGACAAGGAAGAATGGAACATGGTAGACGAGAATGACGACGAGAGATCTGAGTATGATTCTGACTTCTCTATGTCCGAGGTAAAACATGTACTTCAGTCGATGGCATTCTCCAAGGCAGGGGGCGCTGATGGTGTCCCAATGCAGGTTCTCCAGCATCTCAAGGACTCAGCCATCCAGGAGTTGACACGCATCATCAACATGTCTTGGACGTCAGGAATGTGTCCCCTCCTCTGGAAGTCCAGCCGGCTGGTGCCTATTCCAAAGTCAAAACCCGGAGCTTACCGCCCGATTAGCCTAACTAATGCATTTGCCAGAGTTGCAGACCGACTAGTCACCAGGAGGCTAACTCACTTTCTAGAACGCTTCCAGGCTATTCCGGGTGAGCAAGCTGGGTTCCGGACTGCAATGAGTGCCGAGATGCAGTGTTGCTCCTTTGCTGAGTGGATCTCTAAACGTCAACAGAATGGTGATAGTGTCAACTGCGTGTTTTTGGATGCCTCAGCAGTATATGACAACGTGCACCATGACATTCTCATGGCCAGATTTGGAGCATTGGACCGGCCTGCAAGGCTCACAAAGTGGATCAGTTCCTTCATTCGCGGCAGGGAAGTTGACACCAAGGGGGGGGGTCTACAGTGAGCAAGAAGAGATCCATCCACCGTGGTGTCCCGCAAGGCTCCTCGATGTCTCCCGTCCTTTGGCTTCTGTATATGGCGCCCATCTTCGATGACCTAAAGCTGCCTAACCTAGCAAAGCAGCGTGCGGACTTTATGTCTTTCTTGTATGCTGACGACATCGCTATCGCTGTCTCCAGCCATCTGGTCGAGGCTCTCCAATCTGTCACGCAGGATCTGTTGAACCATGTTGCCGACTTCTGCCGGCGCAGCTGTATCACCCTGAATGGCTCAAAATCTGTGCAGGTTGTGATATCGACTTCATATGCCATCCGCTGTGCTGCCATCCCGCAGACCTTGAACGGCACACCTATCCCTTCAGCTGATTCAGCTCGCTTCCTCGGTATATTGGTCAACGCAGCGATGAGTTTTAAGGAACAGTGCCTCGCTGCACGCCGTCGCATTGAACAACGCCTTCGAATCGTGCGAGCTACGAGTGGCCATAGCTGGGGCCTCAATCAGCAAAACACCACTCGGCTTGTCAACCAGTACGTGCTCTCTTCTGGTCTGTATGGGGCACCAGCCTACTATGGTCTTGCCACCAAGCAAGGTCAGCATCATCTTGATGTTGCCTACAATAGCTGCCTCCGCCTCTCCACTGGGTGCACGAAGACAACACCTACGAATCAACTACGTGAAATAGCTGGTGCACCAACTATCCAGCTGAAAGTCGAGCGCCAGGCGGCCTGTATAGCCAATATCGCGAAGCGTCATAGTGCTCCTACACCAGCTAGTGCCGTGTTGCAGTCAACATACCCTGTTCGGATCCGCAAAACCAAGACATGGAGACAAATGGCAGAGCGGCATCTTCCACCATCCCCTGCACCTCTGCCATCCCGTCCTCCACCCTGGTCCTCCGTTCCAAACCTATCTGTTTTCAAGTCCGCTTGCACCCGGTCTGACCCTCCTACTGTACGACTTGTAGAGGCACTAGCATGCCTGGAGGAAGCCTGTAACAGGTTTAATCAAACTTGAAAAGTAAGAGGCCTGGTTGAGCGTGCCTCGACCAGTTATATACAAATGTGATAGTATACATGTGGCAATGGCGCCAATGAAGGTGCTAATAGACAGGCGTAAGACGCATGAGGTGCGAGGGAGTGTAAAGTTATAGAGAACAGGGGAAAACTGTTACATCATCCCCCTCCTATGGAGAGGAAGGAGCTTATAACCCAAATGCTCAAGTGGAATAGAGTACAATAAGCGCAAACACGTGCGAGACGAAAAAAGGCTTTGCACTGAAGTAACACAATAAGATGACTGAAACTCCATGCAAATTAAAGTGTAATAAGCTCAACAAATGTGTAAGGTGAAACTAGAAGTTCAACTGCAAAACTCAGCGGGCAGAAGCCAAGGTTTTGTACTTCTGAAGTGGAACAATGTCATTACCAGATTCATCCAACAAATAATGTTCAGGCTCCCAAGTGGCATCAGAGTAGCCTTGCCACTTGACTAGGTACTGAAGCTGATTCTGCCGGCGGCGGTGACTGAGAATGTTCTCCACCACATAGCGGGCATGACCATCAAGGTCCGTGATAGGCGGAGGCGTAGGCTGTCTCCTATTAGGAATAGCGTTCTTCTCGTAGGCACGGAGTGCCGACACATTAAATACCGGGTGACAGCGGCTGGTATGAGGCAACTTGAGCTTGTAGGCATTCGGGCCGACCACATGGGTTATAGGAAAGGGGCCAAACCACTTGGGGCGTAATTTATGGGATGGTCGGTCCCGAGCTTCAGGAGTCAGGAGGAAATCCCGGTAGACCATTACCAAATCTCCCACCTTCAGCTTTCCCTCGACCCTTGTCCGATCTGCATAGAAGGCCTGACGAGCTTGAGCTGCCACTAACGCATCTTGTGAGATCTTGACCGCGTCTTGTCTTGCTTGCAACCAATCAGCTGAATCTCTGCCTCCCTGAATAGGGTTGAGGAAGTCGGGTGGCGCTCTGGGATTTAGACCGTAATTTAAGAAGAACGGTGTGTTTCCTGTAGATGATTGA